AAACAATGAAAATCAAGTTCCAGGAAGAAATAGTTGTACCAATTTAGTTGAAGCGTTTTACCCATTGTACTATTTTTCGAAACAAGCCAAATATAAACTGATTTACCTTTAATTTTTCATCTTCTCTTATATATTTCACATCCCTCTGAAGCAATCGATTAAACAATTCTTATCACAAATAACGCTCATCTGTTGGATTCGCTGACCCTTTTCTGAAAGACTTTTCCGAATGCTGAACACATTCAGAGACTTCGAAAATGAAAAAGCGCACTACGATTGCTACTAGTGCTCAACTGGACCATGGCACTATGTTACAGACTAGAATAAATAGGATGCAAAAGTCTTTTTAGGAATCAGACCGATTAGCCATTTGTCAGTGGATAATTCTCCAGCACTAACTATATTGACTGAAAAATTCATCACTCACGGCCAACCATTGACCTTGTCATCTGTTTTTCTTTTTTCACATCACGCACATGGAAATTTTCATTAATGCTTTACTAAGTCACTCATAGACGGACGATATACAGTACACTACTTGAAAAGTTTGAACATTCGCCTGTGTCGTCCAGCGATAAACCGATTCTTTTCTCTCCTGTCAACAAAATGATACCTTGTCGAATATTTTCATTGAGGAATATCCATTCGTCAAATCCCTGTCAAAATTATCTGAAGCCTGACAAGGTTATTCTAAGCGTACACTTTAGGATTAATCTAGAATTTAAACGCCTAGTCGTTGCCATGCTGTCTCTGTTATTCCTTTCGCCTTCGATCGACTTTCAAACTGAACGATTGGGTTTTCTTTTATTGTCGCTTCTACAGCCATAATCTTCTATTCATTCGACTACCAAAAGAAACTAGATATGAAAGTCTTATTGTATGATTTGCTTCGAAACGAACATCTTTCATAGTGCTGCATGTGTTCAGAATACTATTTGTACAGTCCACGCGTCTGTAGTTACTAAGATGAAATTTCACCGACGGGTATATCACTTTGCGAACTACTTCTACTAAATTCCCCTGAAAAGATATGATATTAAGCTCATATCACTTTTTCGGATTTTTCAATTAGAAACATCATTATGTACAATGCATTAGATCTTTTCCTGTAAGCTCTTGAGCTGCTATCTTTGTACACATGACGTCCGTGAATAGCGTTCAGCTCACCATCTTCTACAAAAGATTTTAGAACAGATAAAGTACAATATCTCCTTTGTAAATAGGAAGGAACAAGCCCAGGCTCAGCGAATAAAACGAAATTCGCCCTCAAATTCAAATTTCCCCACGCTAGAAATCCTTCGGTCTACTCTGACGATGGATGTTACTAAGTCGCAGTGGCGTAACCAGGATTTTTAGACCAATGGGCAAACTTCCCATATTTCGAAAAAAACACTGGGCAACCATGGGCAAGCTTTTCATCCATAGGGCAAAAATTTTTAATTTGATAAAAATTCAGAGCATACCAAAAACACAACAATAGAAAGTGAAGTTCTTTCATGGTAGTGTGATATAAGGAAATACGAAAGAATACCGAAAAGAAAAAGCTGAAAATGATTGTATCCATGATTCATATAGAAGAGAAAAATACTCACCTTCGCCCTGCGCCAATATGCGAATATTTCGAGTACGTTTAATATGTTCATTCAAAAATTTCCAAATGAGCTTCTAAGTCATTTGTCTTTAGAGGATTGAAGTTTTTAAAATTTTTTAGGAATTTTCAGATTGTTAGGCGACTTTTCATACGATTTTGTGATTATTTTTCATGCCGAATACTATGAAAATAAACTATTTTGCTATCGGAAAACCTTGGATTTTTGGTGATTTTTCGATGAAAAAAACTGCTAAGATTTCTCAAAAACTTTTCGAAAAGAGAGGGACTTTTAATAAGGAAGAGGTTTACTAAGAAACCCAAAAACAATTATTAAAAACCTGACAGAGCAAAAGTTCAATGGGCAAAAGATATCAATCAAAAATTTCAATGGGCAAACCTCAAAATGAAATGGGCAATTGCCCATTTGCCCCCCCCCCCCCCCCCCCCTCAACCCCCCCCTCCCCCCCCCCCCCCGTCGGCCGAAACACAAAAAAAATACAAAAAAAAAAAACCCACAGACGCGGCAACACGGA